ACTTACTAGCCATGACAAGTTACCTCACCTCTCACTGCCCCATCCTCTCAGTGGGACATAGGGAATAATAACAACAACAATAACAAATACTTAACGGGGTTGTTGGGAGGATTTAATGACATCAAACATTAGTAAGATAAAAGATAAACATACATCTAAGATTAACTGTTAATATATTTGAAGGAGAAAGTTCAGAATAACGACGAGATTTGAAATATCATACAAGGAACATATGAATAGAATTCAGAAAAAGGGGAGGTACTCTATTTCCATGGCTCCCAGAATCACTGACTTTTAAATAACAGAAATTAAAGTAAAATGTTTTCTGTGTATTTTGTTGGATACAGCTGGAACCCATTCTACTAAGTGAAGTATCCCAAGAATGGAAAAATAAGCACCACATGTACTCACCAGCAAATTGGTTTCACTGATCAACACCTAAGTGCACATATAGGAATAACATTTGTCGGGCGTTGGGAGATGGGCAGATGGCAGATGGGAGGGGGGCGGAGGGGATGGGTATATACATACATAATGAGTGCGATGCGCACCTTCTGAGGGATGGACACGCTTGAAGCTCTGACTTGAGGGGGGAGGGCAAGGGCAATATACGTAACCTAAACATTTGTACCCCCATAATATGCTGAAATTAAAAAAAAAAGAGAGAACTTTGTGAGAATGAGAGCTTTCCAAAGACAGAATGGACATCTTCAGAATTAGATATTTACTTAGTAGATACCTTGTAGGGGAGATAAAAAGAGGAAAGAGGTTTGGTCAAAATATCTTTCAAGCTTCTTTCAAAATTTAAGATGCTATGGGAAAAAAAGTGACCTTAGAAAATCACATGAAGCAACTTCTCCTTTTACTGCAAAAGTCTACTTAGGTAGAAAATCCAGCCAACAATTTCTTATCACCTCATCTTTGAAGCCTAATATTTTCTAACATTTCTTGCCCACATTGATTCTTCAATTCTATGAATTGTTAGAACTCTTATAAATAAAATGTTTACATTTAAAAAATATGCAGTCTTATAATTATCTCTAGATCCTTTAATTGACATTTTAAAATTTCAAATCAGTTATCAATGCTGGGATACTGGAGATCATATAATATATTGTTAGTCTATATCTTATGGTACTTAGCACATAGATGTACAGGGAAGTAAATGCTCAGCAAATAGTGATTTTCTGTTCAAACCTAAAGTATACTGTTTAACAGAAATCTCAATATAAATCCAAGAAACTTATATCGAACGACTGCATTTTACTTGTATAATAAAAAGCTGGAGAATAAAATTATCTAGGAATTTCAAAAGTAAAGCTATATCTAAGTTCCCAATGCTAGCAAAAAGAAATAACTTAAATAGACTTGATTATAGATAGATGTTTTATCAATAAAAAAGAACATTTTTCATTTTGAGAGAGTTGAAAAATCAAAAAAAAATTTTTTTAGAGATAAGATCTTGCTCTGTTGGAGTGGAGTGGAGCACTCATAGCTCACTGTAACCTCTAACTCCTGGCCTCAAATGATCCTCCCACCTCAGCTTCCCAAGAAACTAGGACAATAGGTGTGCACCATCATGCCCAGCTAATTTTTTAAAAATTATTTTTTGTAAAGATGGGGGTCTCACTATGTTGTCCAGGCTGGTCTTAAACTTCTGGCTTCAAGCAACCCTCCTGCCTCGGCCTCCCAAAGTGCTAGGATTATAGACATGAGCCATCGTGTCCAGCCAGCATCTTGCATTTTTATACACTCTGACAATCTTTGCCTTTTAATTGGTTTATTTTAACCATTTGAATTTATTTATTCATTTATTTATTTTTAGGGACAGTCTCGCTCTGTTGCCCAGGCTGGAATGCAATGCCATGATCATAGCTCACTGAAACCTGAAATTTCTGGGCTCAAGTGATTCTCCTGCCTCAGCCTCCTGAGTAGCTAGTACTATGGCACACACCACCATGACCCGATAATTTCAAAACGTTTATTTTTGTAGAGATGGGATCACATGATGTTGCCCAACCCAGTCAGAAAATTTATCAGTAGTAATTTTTCCTGTACCAGAAGCATAATCTATGTTGCTTTATTAAAAGTTAAACTTCATAGAAAAAATGTACACTATAGGATGTTTATTATATTGTATATATGTTACATGACATTCATTTCAGTATTAGAATAATTATTTTCTTCATTCCTACTGACAATAAGTAAAGAACTATTAATTCAATTGTAATAATAGATTGATTATATATAATTTATCTTGTAGATACCTTTTTGTTATTTCTCTGTATATATTAACATCACCTTCTATGACCCTTGCTCTACAAAAGTAAAATCAAAATTTAAATATGCCTTCCTTTTACTTTCAAAAAAGTGAAGAACTCTCAACATAATCCTCTTTAAACTGAAGAAGTCTGTTTGAACTCCTGAACTTTAAAAAAAAATTGACTCTATTTTGAATTACAAAGAAACAGCTTTTTCAGGGTTTTAATTTAGTAAAACATAAAGGCAAAAGAATGTATAATTAATTATACTTTCTCTCATCTGATAAAGATAGATACATAGATCACAATTCCAGAGAAGTCAAGAAAACATCCTTTTAAAAAAAAATCTTGTCCAGGCACTGTGGCTCACACTGGTAATCCTAGCACTCTGGGAGGCCGAGGTGGAAGGATCACTTCAGATCAGGAGTTCAAGACTAGCCTGAGCGAGAGCGAGACAGAGACCCTGTGTCTCTACTAAAAATGGAAAAATTAGCCAGGTGCAGTGGCATGCACCTGTAGTCCCAGCCACTCAGGAGGCTGAGGCAGGAAGATTGCTTGACCCCAGGTGCTGGGAGTTGCAGTGAGCTACGATGATGTCACTGCACTCTAGCCCCAGCGACAGAGCAAGACGTTGCCAAAAAAAAAAAAAAAAAAAAAACCTACTAGTAAAAAATTAGGAGTTTTTGAATCAGAATGCCTAAGTTTGAATCCAGAATTTATCAGTTAAGTAGACTTCGGTAAGTTACTTAATCTTTCTAAACCTCAGTTTTCCCACTTACAAAGGGGGATTAAGCAATATTATTTATCCTCATAAAATTCTGAGCATTTAATGACATAAATACTTGGCACACACAGTAAACATTGTTTAATCATTTTAAATTAAATTATTGTTGTCATTAATAGTATCTAATTATTCATACTCCACTTTATAATCCACAGCCCTGGACAGGCAACCAAGCCATTTAAAGAACAGAATGTAAAGCAGATTTTCTCTACCAAGGGCTTTCTTGTTGCCCTAAGGCTCCACAGAATGTGTTACCCTGACAAAGGGAAACGAGCAGAACCCAGGTCCACTGACCGGGGCTCTCTTCCCTGTGAGGCAGGAATGGCTAGCTGGGAGTCATAGTTACAGTGTGTGGCCATGTTTCTCATGCTCTGCAACTGTCCATTCTAGAACCATGGTATTGAACAAAGCTTGCCAGGACATACTGCAGTCTAAAAACCCAACATTTTGAACATGCACTCTGAAATAAATATATAGTTTATGTAAATAACCTTCTATACTGATAAATTACATTGCAAAACATTCTGAAGAAAGGACTAACGGAAAGTCTGAACCTTTCTTCAAACACTGTTTCCCTGGAACTATTTCAAGTTAAGACAAATGGGGAATGCCAGTTGTGTTACCAGGCAACATTGTTTATTACTGGTGAAATGCATCTGCACCAGGAGGACTATAATTGAATTATGAAATCATTTTGGGACTCACAGGCCTCAGCTTCCTTGTGTGCAGCATGTTCTTGCAAGTAAGGGCATCCCTGGAGGGGACGTAGGCTGTTACCAAGTTACTGGTTCCCATAGAACATAAGTCTCACCCAAGGCAAGCTGGTTCATCCCTACTCATATGGTCTCCTTACCTTAAACCGAGTTACTACAGCAGGGGTGAGGAGAAGGAGGTGGAAAATGGTTCCTGAGCAACTACAGGGATCCCACTAAAGAAGTACCTGATATGATCCTGCTGACAGTTGATGTTTCCTGCCTCACAATCTTGCTAAACCATGTGAACCTGTTGCCAGGTAATGGCCTATCCTTATTGTATCATATAAGTGTAAATGTCAAGCCCAAACCAGCAAGTCTACTGCTGGCGGTCATGCAGACATACGTGTACACAAAAATATATTATTCTCTTCATCTATCTTCATAAATTATTGTAAGCTCCATCCTTTTGAGTATGCTGTTTGGGTACATATATTTTTCAGAATATTTTCGGTATATTCTTTGTAATAGCTTAGGATGCTTTCTTTTTTCACTTTGTGATGTTTTGGTGTTTCTGACAGATCCTTATTTTTGGTAATTTGAAATCTTTGACTTCGTTTGCAACTATTAATTCCTTTAGACCTGTTTAAAACTAAAAAATGGTAACTCCATTGTTAGAAATTCTGCAGTGGCAAGTCAGTTTCAGGAAACACAAAACACTAAAATATCTTCTTGAAGTTCTTCATTTCTTATTACTTTTCCTTTAGAAGATATTAGAATATTATCTACAGGGGACTTTAAAAATTACAACATTGTGGGAGAAGTAATTCTAGCTTTCAATTTCAATATACTTTTATACTGGTTTTATTAAAATATACTATACTGAAAATAGAATTATTTCTTTCACTCAGCACTACCTTCAATTTCAAGTCATCAAATACTTTACCACTTCCCATGAAAATTCCTGTAGCGTTGTTTTTCATTACCCCGTTTTTAGGTACAAATTGTTTTAAAAAACATATTTTCAAACTTACCCTTGATGGGTGAAAAATTGCCTATGGGGTACAATGTACACTGTTCAGGTGATGGGTACACTAAAAGTCCAGACTTTCCCAATTTATAACATATACATGTAATGGAATTCAACTTATACTCCCTAAATCTATTACATTTTTTAAAAGATGAAAAAAAAAAAGAAATTTAAAAATCTGTTTCAAATAAATATTGCTATGTCAAGAAAATTTAAAAAACAAAAAAACTTACCCTGAAACATGCAACATCAGCAGCATATAGAAGACAAAGAAGAGATTATGAGTATACCAGAAGATATCATAATTAGAAACTCTGCAAAAAACAAATAAATTAGTTTCAATGCTACTTTACATTCCATCTCACTAAAAAGATTATGCATTATTTCAAACATGTCATAATTTCAAAAAGCTAAAATATGAGTTCAAGATTTATTATTAATACCAAAGTATTAACATACCATACAGTAAGAACTAACAAAATTATAAGTAACAATATATCATTTTGAGGGTTCTTTGTATTTCAAATAAAGACACATGAAAATAATTAAAATAAGGTGTTTATTTGAAGGTTATTATAAGGCTAAGGAATGAGGAGTAGTCTGTTAATATGTACTTCTGCTGTACTTTTTATCAACATTCTCAATTTTCAAATAATTTCTAAAACAACTAATGTTCTTCTCCAAATAATTATTTTAAGAGTAGTTTCAAATAAAGACACATGAAAATAATTAAAATAAGGTGTTTATTTGAAGGTTATTATAAGGCTAAGGAATGGGGAGTAGTCTGTTAATATGTACTTCTGCTGTACTTTTTATCAACATTCTCAATTTTCAAATAATTTCTAAAACAACTAATGTTCTTCTCCAAATAATTATTTTAAGAGTAGTTCAAGGGAAATTCATAAGGAAAGAAATTAAAATCAGTGGTGATCAAAGTTTTATACTTTTTTCCTGAAGAGAATAATGTCGGAATGATATCTTGATGTTCTAAGGGAGGACAGAGTCTGAAAAGGGAAGGAATGATAAGCACAATCTATAGAATGAAAAGAGAAATAAAAAGACGGACAGTTATTTTATCTGGTATGTCTAGGGTGGATATTTATATATCAGAATCTTGGAGGTGGAGGGTGGGTTTTTATAAAAGCTTCCTAGGTGATTCTGATACACCCCCTTGAATTTTTAGAACCCCTTACATAAGCAGTAGCCAATTGTTTCACATTTGCTCCATCCATAGTATTTGTTATTGAAAACAATCTATCATTACTATCCTTGTAAAATATATAATTTTATACATATATGATTATTTTTTAATCAAAATTACTAGAAGCAGAATTGCTAGATCAAAGGATACACCTTTGTAATGCTTTTGATACACACTGCTCATTGCTCTCTAAAAATGTTTATTACAAACCCAACCATAGAGTAGTATAGGATTGCCTGTTTCCCCAAACACACACCCAAATTTATAAGTTTTCATTATTTGTTATAAGTGGGATTGGGTATATTTCATATGTGTATTACTTATGTTAAATTTTTCTCTGAATTCTCTGTTCATGATGATTATCCATTTTTATAGGGTGTTTTTCTGAATTGATATGTATAAACTATTTTAAGAATGCACTGATTCCTTGTGATTGTAATAATTTGTCCAATATCATATTTACTTTTCAATTTTTATAATGTATATTGACATGCAGAAGTTTTAGTTTTCATATTTTTAAACAGACAAATATTTCCTACATGATTCCTTATCCATTTGAGGTCTGATAAATATTCACTTAAAGTTTCTTATAAATTTTTGATGGTATCATTTTTTACATTTAACTCTGTAATTTATCTAAACTTTCATTAGCTTAAACCTAACTTTCCTTAAAGGCTTGTGATGGCACCTTTATTACTTAGCAGATTCTTGTATATAGCAAGGTCCCTCACAGGGCTTTCTGTTGACTTTGTTCCTTGGTTCAATGTATTGATCATTTCTGCAAGTAAGTACTATTCTCTCTCAAGCTTAATTATTTTAATGTTTAGTAAGGCACATTCCTCCTTTTACTCCTCTTCTGCAAGATATACTTGGATGCTCTCTCAGATGAACTTTAGAATCACTCTGCTAAATTAAAAAAAAAAAAAAAAAATAACCTGACTGGGATTTTTATTGGAATTGTAACACTATAAAATAAAATAGAGGAAAAACTGCATCTTTATAGTATACAGCCTTTATTCAAATCTCTATATATTTTTCTCAGTGAATTTATGTAGCTTGTTCTCTATATAACTCTCAGTTTCTTAAGTTTATAGATATTTTATGTTTCTGTTGCAATTGCGAGTGGTATATTTTTATTTTACTCAATTTTCAAACTGATTATAGCTAGTACAGAGAAGAGCTATTTTCTAAATTTGTTTTATATTAAATTACCTTTTTCAACTCTTATTTGGTGTTCATAGTAAACTTTTTCAAAATACTCTTAGATTTTCTGGGTAGACAAATTTATCTGCTTTTCTAGAAATAATAACTTGTTGCGTTTTTTCTAATAATTCCAAATTTTTGTTTTGTTTTGTTTTTGTTTTTGCTTTTACCAGTCAAATGTTGCATTTCTTACTCTACTTAAATAACAGTGGAATTAAAAATATCACCCGGGCTTTTTCCTGATTGTTGTATGAATATATTTTGTGTTTTGCTGTTATTAAGTATGACCTTAATTCTGGTTTTTATATTTTTTAATTCCTAGTTTATTTACTATGGTTATGTTAATTCAGAATTAGAGTTCATATTTAACAACAGTCATTTTAAAATTGATCGAGATGAGGAAAACGTTTGCATTCCTGTCATCTGTTAATAGGATGTATTAATTATTTTAATAGGTAGATCCATATTGAACTATCTTTGAATTAGTAGACTACATTCCACTATCAGAACTCAAACGCTGGAAACTTATTTATTCATTTAATTTGTTTAATAGTTTGTTTTCTCACAGATAAAGAGAAAAGGTAGAAAAGAAAAGGTATCTATCTCCATAATCCATTTAAGAATTTCATGATTCACATAATAATGCTTAGAAAAAAGCAAATTAGGGGTTATAATCTCCTTTAAACAAATAAGAAAAACTGAAGATTAAGAGATGCTCAATTTTTTATAAGAGCAAATGTAATAGCTCAGCTGAGAACAGCTCATTTGACAAAACTCGCTTATGGATTTTTTTTCCAGATGTAAAATATCTATATATCTTCAATTTTGTAAATAAATATGTCAGATGCCATAATTTTCCTTCAAGAACTCCTAAAACTGAAAAAGTAAGTTTTAAAATGATTTCTTTACCTAAGTAAAACAAAATTTCTTCCGACAAAGTTGGCATCCTCATACACTAATGTTAGTGACTTGCCTTTCTATAAGATAATTTTTAATTCTTACAGAAAATTTTAAAAGTGTGCTTACCATTTGTCCCAGCTATTCTACATCTAGGGATTTTTCCTTAGGACATCATTGAAAAAGTATGCAAAGACATACGAATGGGGGTGTTTATTTCAGACTTGAAATACTGAAAAATGGAATCGACTAAAAACATCCAACAATATGAGACTGGGAAAATACTACATACCTACCCACATGGTGATATGCTGTGCTATCAGTAAAGAGAACGATAAACAAATATTTATTAATGTGAAAAAATTCATAACATAAATTTAAGTAAAAAACAGATTTAAAATAATATAATATGATCCTAGTTTGATTAAATATATATATATATGTATGAGAAAGATTAGAAAGGGAAAAAGAGTGGTTTTGGTGGGGGCAGAAATTGGAGAACGAGTGAAAAAAAGCATGAAGAATTAAGTCTATAAAACTAAACACTACAAAATTTACAGTGTTAATCTCATAGTGGTCATTTTATTTGTGCGGTTTTGGGGTATATGTATGTATGTATGTGTAGATGTGTTTAGAAGTATAAGGATAGATTCATTTGAGTATATTATTGGAAAATTATTTTCAACACATATATAAATATATATATTTGTGTGTTTCCATTAAATTTCACATCTCAACAAGTAGCATAATTGAGAATTTTTGAAGATTAG